TTCTGAGGCCACTGCATCTGGTCGGGCCGGGAAAGTATAGAATCTAGCTGGAGCACCACCTGGCTGGCCTCCACCTGCCTGGCCTCTACCTCTAGGACGGCCCCTACCCACCTTCCCTCCGCCTCTGGGTGGCCGGACGGCTGGTGCGACTACTAGTGTTGTAATCATAGGCTGATAACCCTGTTGCACTGCCTTGCCCCGAAGCTTGGGGCAGAACCTCCGCAGGTGGCTGAAATCCCCGCACTCGAAACAACCTCTCAGTACGAAGGACTGCTGACCTGAAGTCTGACCCCGATGGCCTGAATACCCACTGGAGGAACCCGGAATAGCTGGTGGGAAGTAGGAACTCTCTAGCATAGGCTGAAATAAGGTCGAACTAGCGCACCCCGAGGAGGCGGCGATGCTGGATATGTGGGCCTGCTAGGCTGACCTCTCCTAAAGTGACCTCTGCCCCCAGACGGAGCACCATTGAACCCTCCAGAATAACGAAATCGCTTGTCCCGCGGCATCTACCCTCCGCCCCGCTGACGATAACCCTCAATCCTTAGAGCTATCTCCACAACTAGCTGGTATGTAGTCCCCATCTCAACCTCTCGGGCCATAGTGGCCTGAGTACCGGAGTGCAACCCGGCAAAACACCTCGGTATTCTCTCCGCCTCAGATGGAAGTATCATAAGTGCATGGCGAGACAACTCAGAGAATCTCACCTTATAATGGGTCATTGACATCTGACACTCCTGGAGCTGCTCAAACTCTTCCCTCTAGGAGGATGGAATATACCTATCCAAGAAAGGCGTGTAAACTGATCCCAAGTCATGGGAGGAGAACCTGATGGTCTGCCAAGAAGATGAGACTGCGACCATCTACGAGCCCTGCCCTCCAGCTGGAAAGTAGTAAAATCCACCCCGTGGATCTCTAATATCCTCATATTGTGCAGTCTGTTCCTGCACCGATAAATGAAGTTTTGGGGATCCTCGTGTCGCTCACCCCCGAAGACAGGAGGGTGTAGTCTAGTCCATCTGTCCAATAGCTTTTGCGGCTCGTCGGCCGCAACTGGTTTGGGCTCAGGTACGGCCACTGCCACTGGCTGGGTTCCGCCCACGGGTAGTGTGCAAGGGGTCTGATATACAGCAACTGCATGCCCAGTAGCCTGAGCAATAGGGATTTGTGCTCCCCCTCTAGCCTGAGATGTGGCTAGATCTACTGAAATAAACCGGCCTGGATCATAGTATCCATGAACTGGCATACGGCCCATGACCTCCTGGAAGCCTGGTGCTGACATGAAATCTACTGAGGCTGGCTCTGCTGCAGGCATCTCGCCCTGCTCCTCAATAATGGGATGCTCTACTAGATCTGCTGGTGGCATGGCTGGGGAAACTCTGGGACATCCTCTTCCCCTACCTCGGGCCGGTGCCCTTCCCCAACCTCTACCTCGGCCTCTACCCACAGGGGGAGCAGCTCCTCCCGGGTCTGGAACATCCGATGTGCATGTTCTCACCATATGTGAGAGAATAAGAGAAAGATACTTAGTATAACATCAACTGCACGATAGGAGATGAAGAAAGAGTAATATCCTAAAACCCTATAGCCTCTCGAAGATAAGCATAGACGTCTCCGCACCGATCCGCAAGGCTCTACTAGGCCTGCTCATAACTTGTAAGACATACGTGAACCTTGTGCTCTGATATCATATAGTCACGACCCAATTTATTTTATAGGTCGTGATGGCGCCCAATGCTACCTCTAGGCAAGCCAACAGTGAACTAACCACATGATTGTTTATTTTAATATTCTTAAAATAGCTAACTTTTAATTAGTGCATAAATAGGAAGTAAAAACTTAATAAGATGAGAGATGACTAATTTTAAGAGCGAATGAGATAAGTAAAATAACCCAAAAATCATCATGTGTCTGCTAGCATAATTTCCAAGACCTGGTGTTACAAGTGTAAGAGCTACTAATAGAATATACAAAAGGAACTACAGAACTACCGTCTGAAGTGAAATAGTCAGAAAGTAAAAGCAAAAGGAAGACTTCGAGTGCTGCAGTATGGGCTCGGAAGGTAGCTCACCGCGGAGTCTCATGGAAATCAATGATACGCGCCGGACTGATAGCCAGATGCACCTGTCTCAGATCCTTCACGATTAGTGCATAAGTGTAGTGTAAGTACATAAACAACATGTATCCAGTAAGTATCTAGTGTAACCTCGAAGAAGTAGTGACGAGGGGTCGACTTCGGCACTTACTATGGGCTAACAATAAAATACCGAAATTATAATTAAGCATGGATTATATAAATACAGCTCAAAACTCAATAACAAAAAAATAAATAAACAACTCTTTCACTAATAGTAAATCCCAAATTAATTTGTATCATTTAACAAATTAATCTCTCAAGCCAATGAAACAATATCAATTATAATTGGGCTCCAAGAATTTATTACGCACGAATTATGCCGAGGTCGTACGGCCCAATCCAACATACAGATATATAAATTATGCACTGCCGAGGGTCGAAGGGCACGAACCATAGATGCATCTATTATATTACCGAGGCGTTCGGCCCGCTCCACAAGAAGAGAAAATACTTTATAAACAACTGATTCCAAAGATTATTAAGAGGCAAATATTCAAGGAAACATCATTTCTCATTAACGGTCAAGTAACTTGTCCAAAACTCAAGTAAATGAATTTTGATCTTTTACAATTCCTTTATCATGTTCCAATATGATTTAAGCATTTAAGTTAAAGTAGGCTGCAAACATCGCAAGTATCACATGATTTGGGTCCTAAACTATCCGAACATATGCATAATTAGTAGCTATGTACGAACTCTCGTCACCTCGTGCGTACATAGCCCCCACAAGTAGAAGCATATATTAATCCAATTCACATATGGGGTTAATTCCCTCTTACAAGGTTAGAAAAGAGACTTAACTCGTCTCAAAGCTTACTTTCCAATCCAAAATTGTGCTTTAAACCCTCAACTCGGTGCCAAACAACTCGAAACTAGTCAAATGTTATATTAAATAGTCAATACATGTTCAAAAGTTCATATCCTAACTATTAAAGTGATTTCCCAACCCTAATTGAAGAATTCCTAAAATTCACCCCGGGCCCACGTACTCGGATTCCGAAAATATTTGAAGAAAGTTGTTACGCATAACATCATGAACTCAAATATATGATTTTCATTAAATTCCATAAATATTTTTGTGGTTAAATTCCATTTTTATCAAAACATAGGTTTTTCATCTAAACCCATGATTTCACAATTTTTATATGTTAAATCTACCAATAATCTATGTATTTAACTCACATTGTTTAGAAATTACTTACCTCAAAGTGTTAGGTGAAAACCTCTCTCTAAGAGCTCCAAGAATCGCCCAAGCAATGAAATAAATGAGCTCAAAATGCCTAAGTCTCGTATTAAATTTAGGTTCTACCTTCTGCGATTTTCGCACCTGCGGAGGTTTGGTCGCTTCTGCGAATCCACATTTGCGAAAAGGGCCTCGCAGATGCGGTCCTCCCCTCAGTTGGCTCCCTTGCTTCTGCGACCATCGGCTCGCTTCTGCGAGACCTCTTCTGCGGTGCGTGTGCCGCACTTGTGACATGTCCCCGCTTATGTGATCATCTCCGTCGCACCTGCACCTACGCAGGTGCGGTCTGCCTTGCGCTTCCGCAATACCTGGGCCGCTTCTGCGGTCAGGGGCTCACTTCTGCGAGCTCGCATCTGCGGCTGGCCAAGCGCAGGTGCGATTGCACCAAAAGCTGGGAGCTTCAGTTGGTGCTCCCAAGTTCCAACTTGGTCCGAGCCTCGTCTGATTAACACCGGAGCCCCACCGAAACATGCCAACAAGGTTGAAATCATAAAACGCACTCGCTCGCACCCTTGGAACACATAAAACATCAAAAAATAAGAATCACACCCCAAACCAAATTGAATCAACTTAAGAACTTTTAAGTTCTTCAAACTTACTCCGAACGTGGCAAAACATACTTAAACTACTCGGAATGACATCAAATTTTGCGTGCAAGTCTTAAATCACCATACGGAACTATTCCTGATCTCGGAATCCCAACTGCACCTCGACAACACCAAAACCTACTCTAAACCAAATTTGAAGAACTTTAAAACCTTTAAAGAGCCAACTTTCACTATTAGGCCCCGAAACGCTCCCTGGTCGTCCAAAACCTAATCCGAACATACGCCCCAGTCCGAAATCATCATGCAAACCTATTGGAACCATCAAATGTTGATTCCGAGATCGTTTACTCAAAACATTGGCTGAAGTCAAACTTAGCCTTTTAAAGCCAAACCATGGAACCAAGTGTTCCGATTTCAACCCGAACTAACAATCCCCGCAAGTCACAAAATAGTAAAAGCACATACGGGGAGTCTTATTTTGGGGAACGGGGTTCTAGAATGCAAAACGACCGGTCAGGTCATTACACTTCTGTCTTCGGTTCCACGTGTTACTTTCTCATGCGATCATTTAATATAAACATACTTTACCCGATACAATAGTGCAAACCCATTTCCCGTCTCCAGAACTCTTCTTGTTTTTTTTCCCTTCTTCATGTGCCACAAATTGAACCAGAAATGAAGAGGTTATGTCATGTACATATATAGTTTAAGGATGATGTTTGAACTTTATCCGACATGTATATTTCCAATTACTGTAACATACATTAACTATTGAGGACGTGGTACACATAAACAAATAAAGACTCAAATATTCTTTACATGAGGTCTCTTACACATATATCAAACCTACAACTCGATGAGACCGTCAAAACTGGATGGTTAAACCAACAACAATAGCAAACCCAGTGCAATTCCACATAGTGCGGTTTGGGGAGGATAATGTGTACGCAGACCCTACCCCTACCTTATGAAGGAAGAGAGGTTGTTTCCGATAGACCATCGGCTCAAGAACAATGAAAAAGACGCGATAAACAAACAGTAACAATGACAAGTAAATAAGATAACAGAAACAAATAGCACAGCCTGTAATAGCAAAGGAATTAGGAATACGAAGCTACAAGAGAAGTGCGAAAACTATCGACAATAGTGCCACATCGTCTAACTACATGGAACTCGGAGTACGAGAATAAAGGACTAGTACCACTACTACTAGTACGACTAGAAGAGGCTCTCGACTACCTGTCAACCCACAACCCTAATTCTCGACCTCCATACCTCCCTATCGAGGGTCATGTCCTCGGTTAGCTGAAGTAGTGCCATGTCTTGCCTAATCACCTCTCCCCATTATTTTCTAGGCCTCTCTCTACCTCTCCTCTGCCCCGCTATGGCCAACCTCTTGCATCTCCTCACCGGGGCATTAGAGTCCCCCTCTTCACATGCAAAAAAAAAAAATACTGAAGGTTGATATCACATTTGTGATGAATACTTATCTGAAGATACATGTAACAGTTGTACAAAGAGGAAGGCTTTGAAGAATCATTATTAACTCAGGCTTTCATTCTTTCAACTTTTTGAATAGAATACTTGAGTTCCTTCTGAATGTTCAATCTAGAAGGTGACATGACAATATCTTTCCAAACTGAGCCAGATTGATAAGCTGGATGAGGGTTCCTGTAAAGTTCATATATGGAGTCAGCTCCTTCGTTCAACCTCCCTACCATTTCCAGTACATCTATCTCATCACGGTCCACCAACAATGTCTTGTCTCTATCCTTCCATCCTATCAACTTTTGAATACTCCTTGTTAGTATATATGCAACAAATTATAGATGTGAAAACTTATTAGTTGTACCTTAGGGGGGCCTTCCAAAGTATTAGTGGAATATAACCTTGCATTATCCACTAGCTGACAGTATGTATTGAATGCTCTAGCAAATCTCTTGTGTGATTTAAGTTGTGAGTTTACCCGAACAGCTCTCCTACACATGATAGCTCTCCTGTAAACAATACAAACAAACTTAATGCTAGCAGAATGAGCAGATTTGTCTGTTTTTACTGGAGTACATATGTTAATAGTAATTCTTCTCCATTTTCATATCAAGATTCTTTATCTTTCTTTTTCTTCAGTCACCACGTAAGTTTTCTTGACCACTGGTTCATTTTTCTTTTGGCGGATAGTTGTGTTATCCGGGTCAGCCTGTACGCGCAGAATATGCCTACTACCACCACACAGGTACCAAGTAACTCTTCCCACCAAAACTTATGCAGATGGGAAGAAATTGCCTAGCGTTCCTTCAGCGCTTTATGACTATGATTCACGCATTAGTTAGATCTTTTGCTTACCTTATGCCTCTAACGACAGCTAAATAAGCATCACAGACAACTCCAACCAATTCTATTCTATAAGGTCTTCTCTTTCTAGTTCCATCAGTTTCTTGTTCTTCATCAATCTGTTCCCAGTAGTTTTCAGTAGCACTTCCATCGTCCTCTATTTTGTAACCGGGCCCCATGCGGTAGCGGCGCCGGTGAACATTTCTAGCCATGGTTATTGTCTGCACTACAAAGGGTATCCATGACAGCGTGCCATCCATGATCACATCCCTTCCTTCATTGAGTGCTGTTACAAGCAGGGATGATGCTGCATCTGTTGATGACTGATGTACCTGCAAATTGCATGAAATTTACTTCTTAAATAACCAAAAGAATTCAAAAACATAAATATTATAAAAAAGGACCTAAGTCCTCCAAATGTTTTAGACGAAATATTATTTAGAATTGGTCTCCAGTAATTGTTAGCCATATTATTAAAAGACTCCTTTACTCATAATAATTTATAGAATAATTTGCAGGAGGTACACATCTTTCTTCTCAATGTGGAATTATGTAGATGGTCAGCCTGCATGTTTGATAACTGCGCTAATGTACTGAATATATCGGCACCATAGCAGTAGCATACCACTTTGGACCTAGCTGCCGGCCTAGCTAGTTATCTATGAGACAAGATTTTGCTCCAAATCAACTAATGAATGCTTTGCAGCAGATATAGCATTTGGATTAATTCACATGATTTTCTCTCCCTATGCCACATTCAACAGGTAGACCGGGCATTAGACCTCGGGTTAGCACAGAGATGCAACTCTTTATGCGTAACTTTTCAAAGGGGTTAGGGGTAATGGGAAGGTGGGGGTGGGGGTGGGGGTTAAGAAGAATATAATAACCAGTTCAGCAGTTTGCAGCATGTCATGATGTCCCCTAGAGCTAAGAGCTTTGTAAATAACATCTGATTCTTTGAAGGCATCTGCTTCTATCACAACAACATTAGCTGCAGCTCCAATCCAGAATGGTCTGCATGCAAATTTTGGCAGTCACTGCATTAGTATCTTTCACATAATGATTTATCACCTCCATTTCATTAGAATCTTACACACACATATGTATGTACACTCGCAAATAACGACATTCTTACTCTTTGAGAATGTCCTTGAGTACGGTGCTTTTCCCAGCACCCATGCCACCACCCATAAAGAGGAGGACAGGGCTTCTATCTTTGTGAGCCATTGGGACCATCACATCTGTGCACTGTGAATCATCTGAAGAAACAAGTCCTATCGCTTTCATCTCCTCAACTAAGGTAGTAAGAACTCTTGCAACCTTCAGATTCTTTGTCACCCTTTCAAATCTTTGTTCCCTTTATAACACACAAAAGAACAAGATGAATCGTTAGTAATATCTACCAAGTTCAGCAAAAGAAAGAGAACAGTATGATTTTATTGGAAGCCATGATGCTAAGCTAGTACTGATTTGAAGCACTTCAGACCAGCTAGGGATTACATAAAATTGTATAATATCTTAGCTAAGGAATTCATAAATGTCAATATCTGGAATATTATCCAAAAGTTGACCAGCATCATATCTTACCATAATAGCAATAAAATTAGGCGCATGGATGAGGCAGATGGACACTAAACACATCTGGACTTGTCTATATGAAATCTGTTTTCAATTGACTAGAATTCATAGGGAATTGCCAATTACCAATAATGATACTTGGCATAACAACCTTCTATTTGAAATCTCCGTTTTCATGCGGAGGTGAATTCCCATGTATTGTAACCTTAGAAGTTCGCTTAAGCTATCAAAAAATTAAAAATAAAACATTCAACATCTTCTTTGTTATATAAAATGACTTTAACTTAAGACTGCTTGGAGTTCTGTTGCAGTAAAGCACGTATCACATCATAAGATTTGTCGACCAGATAGAAATGTCTCAATTGGTTGATATATAAACCAAAATTCTAGTTGATCAATCTATCACAAAAAACTATCATTGAGAAATGCGGAAGGCTTGATTGTAAGCATGAACAGGAAACTGAAAAACCGGATTGGACATTCGATTGACACGTTTAGAACTCATAACTCACGTAAGTCATTTTATACAGACCAGCTCTAGAATAGTGTGAAAAGTAAAGGATGGAGAAAATCAAAGCTACTACGGTAACATGGAGAAATCCAGAACATAAAACAAAAGGTGTGACGGTAACAGTAATGGCAGACAACCAGAATGCACAGAGGAGTGCCAACGGATTCAAGTTGACTGTAAGAGCTAGCGCTACACCTGTTGACAAAGTAAAGGCTAATCAAATTAAAGGAACCAAAGCTATGATTCTTCAAATGAAGATGTATGAAAGAAATAATGCATCTGACCATGTACACACACTATTCCAGGGAAGTCGACAAGGTTGCAGATTGTTTGACACTTATGTTTTGGAAACATTGGGGAATTACCAACAACTACCTTTGGACTTCTTAGTTTAGATAGGATCTCCTGTTCATCCTTCAGATTGGGAGCATCTAATCCAAATGAGGATTCATAACAATTGATATATTTTGTAGTGGAATGATCATTACTTATTCCAAACACAAGAAAAAGGAGGTACAATTTCATGACATCCTCATCTAAGTGTTTACATTTAGACTATCACAATAAACATGTATGGTTCTACCTAAACCCCTATTAAACCATATGATCCTACAGATAGAATTGTTTGAATTTTCTCCCAATTGGCTAAAATTTGGATAAGGCCTAGAAACGAAAATCGTTAATGATGGCCATCAATCTGACTATAGGATGAAAGAGCAAATATTACGAAATACAGTTAATACCTAGTAGCAGCCATGACAATGTTTTGGAGCTTCTTTTTGGGTTCAAAGTGATCAGCACTCAATACCTGAAAGATAACCAAAAGGAAAGGAATGCGAGTTCGTCAACAACAATTCGAACTTAAAATTTTGTTTTTTGAGGTTATAATTTCTGAAGTATGGATCTATTTCTTCTTATTAACTGGATTTACCTGGCTCATCATATATGGAACCTGACTCCAATGGAAAGCGAAGTAACTGAGGATGCATCTCTCAAACTCTTCAACAAGTTTTATAAACAGCGAATCAGCATCTGGTTCATTAGAAAAGTAGCTGTACATATCTTCTTCACACCCTTCTGATTTTATTATGTACTCAGTAGCTAGCTTACACATATGTGGACACTCTCTCCTATCTGCAAATCCCATTTGCCTAGCTGCATATTCATACATATATGTTCAGTTTTAAAATCACCTCGCCGAAAGGCTTAAAGCTGTTAGAAAGAGAAAACTTCCTTACCAAAATTTGTGATCTTAAACATTTCATGACATTACATAGCGACAAAAGCTTGCCATTAAGCGTAAAATTGGACCTTTATGGTTAAAAAGTTTTCAAATGTCGAAAAATGTCATTAATTTTGAAACAAACTAAAAAGAAGTGATATAGGAAATAGAACACATCAAGTACTTAAGTTTGTCTTTAACACGCCTCTCACGTGCGACCTGGCTTCTTTTTCAAGTAGACAATGGGTGGAAGTGAGGCTTGCTTAGACCTGCTCTAATACAAAGCTAAGTTACGTGACCGCATCATCTAAAAGCTTAAACTTTTACAGAAACACACTTTTAATTACTTAATTACATCTACAACAATAGATACGATCCTAAATATAATAACACTAACCAAAAATGGAAGAGAGAAACGTAGAAACCCAAAAGGGGATCCAAGACTTCAATAGAATAATTATCTACGTACAACAACAACAACAACCCAGTAAAATCCTACAGGTAAGGGGTCTGGGGAGGGTAGAGTATACACAGACCTTAGCCCTACCCCGATGGAGTAGAGTCATTGTTTTCGCTAGATCCTCGGCTCAAGAAAACGAAAAAGACAGAAAAAGACAATATTCAATAATAACAGCATTATAAGAACCAGAAACTAGTTGAAACGCAATAACAATAACCACTAAAGAAAAACGGGGGAGAATAATTACCTACATAATGGGAAAAATTTTCAAACTTGAGGACCTGCCCGGTACGCGAAACATCAATACGTGGAATAATCTTCTGGTTTCGGAAATTCTTGAGCCGATAATACACAGCCGCTGAAAGAATAAATCCAATGCAAGATGCTAAAAGGATCTGTGTATAAATAGGCTTTATGTTGAAACAGTAGTACGAAGGAGAATTGAATTCAGAATTAGAAGAAGAAGCAGACATATTAATTCCCATGCAAAAAAAAGGGTCAATTACAATGCAGAAATGGCTTGTGTTAATCGTTCAGGTTGTTTTGGTAATCCGATCACGTGCTAACATGATCTTGAACTTAGAATAAGCGTCAGTTCTTCTATTTATATCTTTTTACTTTATCAAATTATCCCAGAAAAGGAAAAAGGATAATTAGAGGAATCTCTTTTAGGGGAAAAATGTTTCCGAATTGAACCATAAACAATGTGCAGATTCCAATTATTTTGACTAATCTGCCCTTTGTCTCTAATTGTCATCCTCTTTCACCAATTTTTGAAATAACAAAAGGATTTGAAATGAAAAACAGAATCTAAAAGTTCTACGCTGCAAAGTACCAAAAGATTGTTTAATATAGTGAAATAATTTTTGAAAGATAAAAAGTAGACTATACTTGAAAAATGACTAACGAAATAAATTTACATAAATTCAATCACAAAGCCACGAGAGTTTAATTATAATTCAACTTAGTTGCATGGAAAAATAATCGTAAAATTTGAGAAATGTATGTTTTTACCCCCTCCCAAAATAATAGCCGACAAAATATATTTTTGTATTTATGTATATTATATACTAAAATATACATACTTTGTATATATTTTGGCTAACAAATAAAATTAGTTTCGGCTAATTTTGTATTTTTCCCCAAATTTATTAGTGTTAGAAATTCACAAACCCGAAACGATTGAAATACTAAGAACTACTCTTTATATTTCAATGCATTCGGACTTTTTCGGAGAACGAAGATCGAATTGACTATTTCTCGACGTGAATTTGGATGCAGAATTTTAAATTTTTTTAACAAAATAAAATTTAATATTTAAAGATTACATAAAAAGTACTATAAGCCACAATAGTTAACCGTCACTACAGCATTTTAGGCCTACAACCACCCCTGAGAAGTGTGGTCTAAGATGCCAAGAAGTATAGCATTTGGGCAAAGGCTACACTTTACGACTTTAGGCAGCGCTTTTCGGGGGTTGCCTAAAGTACCGTAACCTTTGACTATTGGCCACGCTTTGTAGGTGTTGCCTTAGAAGCCACGCTTTAAAAGTGTGGCAGATACGGTACAAAGGCCACACTTATATTTTCTTATATAGCCACGCTTTTATGACATAAGAATACACTTATAAAGTGTGATCTTTGTCACGTTATAGGCTACACTTACAAAGTGTGGCTTCTAACAATGCCAGATTGACAATCCCTATGGCCACACTTTCTAAGCGTGACAATTTTGTCTACACTACAAAGTTATTTTTCAAATATTTATATTAGCCACAATTTTGGGGTTAAAAAACTATATTTGTTTGCATCAAGTTCTCTCTCTCTCTCTCTCTCTCTCTCTCTCTCACACACACACACACACACACACACACACACACACACACACACACACACACATATATATATATATATATATATATATATACACACACATATTAATTTAAATGATAAGTAATAGAATAAAAATAATTCAAATGCATATACTTGAAATAAATTTCAACAAAATAAACGCACTTTGTGTACTATCTATAGTAATAAAGCAGTGTTGGTTCAAGAAGTTCACTAGCAAAGACCTCTACAAAATAAAATTTGTAGTGTCAACAAAAATAAACATCTTGTTCAAAAGGTCTTCACCATTCACTTTAATGATTCAAATTGATTTGTGGCCACCATTTCCAATTGCATCACCTATATTTTCCTACACATTCAAAATAAAAAAATTAGGAAGAAATGCTTGTAACGAGAACAAGGATCAAAAGAAAGCCTGAAAATACTTCCACTTCTTCAGAATAAGTTAAACTTCCATGCAGTTAGTAAGTGGTAAAAGAAGTAATTATTAGAAGATTATTCTCGTCACATGTAACGAGTTATAAAATGTGTTATAATCTAAGTAGCTCCAGTCAATTGAGGGTCACGTACCCTCTTCCTTTATATATGAAGANGGTAGTTCCCTGGCAGGTGGATAGTCCTAGTTACAAAGGAGACTCTGCCGAAATTTTTGAAAAATTTGGGAGTTAGTCAAAAATTAGGGTCTTGACTTAGGTGAGAAAAGAGATTTATTATATTAAGCGTTTAAGTCGGACTCTACTCCTCATTCGAGGATGAATGATCCTCGGGGGGGGGGGGGTAAGGTA